GGAGTGTGCCTCTTAGCTCAAGTAGGTACAAGAGACTAAATGGGCAGCTTCTGTCCGGAGGTGAGATGGAAAGACAGAGAGGGTTAGGAGCTGGTTGAATGGACATGAGGCATCAGTGGTGGAATGGAGGAGTGTGCTGTCACAGTATAGGGAGAGCAATTAGGGTCACATGACAATATATTTATAAATTTTGTATATGAAAAAAATTTTAAAAATAAATAAATAGATAAATAGGGTCATATTCAGACCCTTCAGGACCTACTAGAATCTTCCTACCAACTTCTGGGAGGAGCTCTGCAGGCCTGGGTTCTTAGGGTGGCCGCCATTATCTTTGGTACTGTCTAATCCTCCACTTCCTATATAACTGCACTGAAATCCTCCCCAGAGTGTGTGTGTGTAGGCAGGGAGATGTATCTTACAATTTTCGCCCACAAAATTATATTATTTATGATATCCTTCCATTGGGTTAGAGCCCTGGTGGCACAGTGGATAAGAGCTCAGGCTGGTAACCAAAAAAAAAAAAAAAAAAGATTGGCAGTTAGAATCCACCAGCCACTCCTTGGAAATCCTATGGAGCAGTTCTACTCTGTCATATAGGGTCACTATGGGTCAGGTTTTCCGTTGGGTAGTGTTGTTTTAAAACCAGTAAATAACGTCATTGCTTCTAACTTTGCTATTTTAATTCTGGGCCTCGCAGTGACCTTGAAGAGAATGTTTTCTGTAAGATGGGACCAATACTGACAGCAGGAGATAGTGGGAAGGAGTAAGTGAATTAAATGAAGCCAACATAAAGCAAGTAGATTAGCACCTCCAGGTAAAATAGACCCTCCTTCAGTATTTGTTGGATGAATATTAAAGTGTACGAATCATAAAAGGCACTGAGCAAGTTTCCTTTTTGTTTCCCAAGGAAAGTTCTGACAAAATGGAACACGACAAGAAATAAAGAGTAATTCTACAGTTCATAATTCTTTTTGAGGAGGGAGAGTATGGCTTTTTTGTTTTTCTTGAAGGTCGTTAACTTCTTTCCGCAAACATGAGAAACAGCATAGTTAACAATGGTTTCAGAAAAAAACAATTGTTTTGCCTGTTACCTGGGAACCTGTGAAATGCACATAGATTGAAAATGATATATTTTCTGTTACAATATGGCTTAACGTTTATTTTATAAATAATTAAGGTGTTCATTAAATTCAAGTGTTCTATGATTTATTTCATTGTGCAGTCTCCTTGGAATTGTTTTCTAATTAAAATGTTCTTTAAGGAATTTGCTGAAATTGCTAAGTAAAAAAAAAACAAGAATTTACTAGAATCATGTGCTTTATAAGGCATTGGGTAAACATTTACCATAATAATGAACTGGTGTTCTTTTTTGTGATTCTAGATAAAGAACTTATTAATGACGGCATGGGAGAATCAGACCTTCAACTCAGAATTCATCCTTCTAGGAATCTTTGATCACAGCCCTACCCACATCTTCCTCCTCTCTCTGGTCCTGCACATCTTCACAGAGGCCCAAATGGGAAATTCTACCATGATTCTTCTCATATACCTGGACACCCAGCTCCACACCCCCATGTATTTCCTCCTCAGCCAACTGTCCCTCATGGATCTTTCAACTACTTGTCTGGCAGAACAACCATTTCTTTGACAGGCTGTGCCACACAAATTTTTTTCTATGCATCACTGCTTAGCTGTGAGTGCTTCCTGTTGACTGTAACAGCCTATGACCACTATGTTGCCATTTGCCATCCTCTAAGATACCCCTAAAATTTGTGGACTTATGGTTGCCTCTTCCTGGATTCTGGGATCTTCTGATGGTGTCACTGATGCTGCAGAAACATTTTCTTTCTCCTATTGTGGGTTCTGGGAAATAGCTCACTTCTTTTGTGATTTCCCTTCTCTGCTAAGCCATGCATGCAATGACACATCAATATTTGAAATGGTTCTCTTTATCTTCTGTATAGTAATGATTGTTATCCCTGTAATAATCATCGTTTCCTATACTAGAGTACTTCTGGCTGTCATTCACATGGGATCTGGAGAGGGTCGCCACAAAGCTTTCACCACCTGTTCCTCCCACCTCAGGGTGGTGGGAATGTACTATGGGACAGTCTTGTTCGCATATATCTGGCCCACTTCTGATCGTTCTCCCACCCAGGACAAGATGGTGTCCATCTTCTACACCATTTTTACTCCTATGCTTAATCCTCTTATCTACAGCCTCCAGAACAAGGAAGTGACCAGAGCATTCATGAAGATATTAGGGAAGGGCAGGTCTGGAGAGTAAATTCTGTAATTGTCTTTATACTTCGTTTTCTGCTAAGTAAGTGCTTCTCTTCCAAAAAATCAGATATTGAAAACTCTGTGGATTGCAGTTTTACTCTGACATTCTGGGGTCGCCGTAAATTGGAATCAACTCAAAAGAAACAGGTTATAGGAATTTTATTGCAACACATGAGTTTGTGTTTTTTTCTTCTTCTTCTGTTTACATTTTCTAAGACAAATATCTTGTTCTGTAATTGTCATTAGCTTCTGTCGAGTTGGCTCCGACTCATGGTGGCCCCACGTACAACAGAAGAAAATGTTGCTAAATCCTGTGTCATCTTCAGGATTGTTGGTATGCTAAAGACCATCGCTGCAGCCACGGTGTTTTTTAGTGCCTTCCAACCTAGGGGGCTCATCTTAAAGAATTATATTGGACAATATTCCATCGTGATCTATCGGGTTTTCATTGGCTAGTCTTTCTGAAGTAGATCTCCAGGTCTTTCTTCCTGATCTGTTTTAGTCTGGAAGTTCCACTGAAGTGTATCCATCATGGGTGATCCTACTGGTATTTGAAATACTGGTGGCATAGTTTCAAGCATTATAGCAACATGCAAGCCATCACAGTATGAAAAACTGTCAGATGTGTGGTGTATTCCTTAGTACTAAGTATAACTTTTTTTTATAACCGTTGCAGTCACCTTCCCTCCAAGGAAAATAATTTCAGTTGCACATTATTATTGGTATTATTTAATCACAAGAGGATCAAGTTTTTCCAAAATTGACAACTGCTTTTGCATTTCTCCTCACTGAATAGTAGAGTTTATGAACTTGCATAAAATCCTATAATGCATTTTTGGCCATAGCAGTTGTAAAAAAGACCACATCCAGGATTTTTGTAGATAATGGTCAAATAGCTATTTCCAAAGAGATACAAAGTAATGATTTAATAAAATATTATTTAAATTGTGTACAATGGATTTTTTATCTTCAAATGAATAGTGAACTTGCACATAAATCAATAAGTATGCTATCAGTTATCACATGTTAATAATACTGATCCATAGTATAAGTAGATTGATGATTTAAGCGTATGTTTCACAACTGTTTATACATTTAATTTGAAGGAGGGAAAGATATAGAAAATATTCATTATCCTAATTATTTTTTTAACAATTAAGCAGGAAAGAACTGCATTATTATATAGCAACCTTACCAAGAAGAGTGATGTAACAAATCTGATTAGCCAATTAGAAGTCATTTGTCCAAATTAGGAAATTGAATTTTATAAGATCTATCTCTAATTATAATAGAGTTTGGATTAGTTAAAGTATATTTATTGATATTTATGTATCTATGATTATACTGAAATGTAGATGATTTAATTCAGATCAACAACTGATATTTTTTAAACAACAATAATAAAAATCAATGATTGCTTTCTTCTTGCTCTAAAATTAAACTAATTTTCCCAAAGTTATCAACGTGTAAAATTATAAATAATAATAATATTAACTTTTCTAGTCATTTGAAATTGCTTATAAGCAAGATGAACCTAGACAATATTTGAATTTTTCCTGACCATGGAGAAACAGAAGGTAGGCTCTTGTCTTTGTTCCTACTCTGACCAAACCCCCAGCATGTGGGACAATTGTCACGGCTCCAGAGAGGCTTTCTGCAACTTCCAATTGAATGATTAATCCTCCTCTGAATTACAATATCACTAATAACACCTTCCATCATTTTGTTTAATTTATGTCATGAGTGGGCTCCATATCTGTTGAGGGCATGGACTATATTATGTTTGTCTTAATATTACTTAAAACACTGAGAAAAATTAAAATTGTTCAAGAAAGTTTTATATATGAAAACAATTACTATCACCCTGGCTACTGTGAAGTACAAGTTCTCTTTCTCATTTTTTCTTTCTTCCTCACTCTATTTCTTCTGTGCTCACTAAGAATGGTTAACATAGATTACTATTGGCCTGTTAGGGTTCATTTCTAAATCTATAGGCTTTATCCATTTTTGTTCAGGAAATTTTCTCTTGATATCATCTAGAATAAATACTTATCTCCATTTCCTTTAAATTTCTAGCCCTGGATGTTGGCAATCTCATCAAATCCACCAAACTCCCATTTCCATTGGCCTGCTGCTTTTAAATGCAGTTTTATAGGTGAAACTTTGAGATTATCTGCAAATAACGTGGCTTGAATCCTAACTATAACCGTACATAATATTTTGTTTCTCTCAGTTAATAATTGGATATAGAGATCAATAAACATATTAACCCCATTTTAATTCATAAACAAAATGATAAACTAGGAAAGCAATCACGTAATAGGGCAACACTGCAACATTGGTTTATATTTTTAGGAAAATTAGGTATTATATTGATTCAACAATAATCTGATGTAGCAGAAGTTCTCTGTCTTAGTCTTATATATCCTTATATATATTTTTGTGATCGTATTGTAGACCTATACCTTCAACCTCCTGGCACACATACACACAAACACATACACACTATGCATTTTTGTGTTCTTGGATGACATTTGAAACCTCAAATCTCACAAAATGTTACTAGCCACATTGTGATTTCCCAGGGATAGAAGTAGAAAATTTTCCAGTCACCTGGGTCCAATCAGCATAAAGAAAACACAGAATTAGGGGACATTTAATATAAATGAAGTCCCTGGGCAGTGAAAATGGTTAAGGTGCTGAGCTGCTAACAGAAATGTTGGCAGCTTGAGTCCCCACCCAGAAGCACCTTAGAAGAAAGCCCTGTCCATCTGCTTCCAAAAAATAAGCCATTGAAAACCCTATGGGGCACAGTTCTACTCTGATACATTTGGAGTTGCTATGAGTCAGAATCAACTCAATGGCAATTGGTTTAATATAAAGACATATTAACTATAATAAAAAAGTAACTGTTAGGTGAAAGAAAACCTTATATGGTACTAGAATTGATTTGACCTATGGCTGAGGGAGAGTACCCAAAGAATGATAAGTTAGAAGGGGTTCAGGCCTCACTGGAGAAGGTGTGGTTCAATAGCAGTGAACTTTGCTGCTCTAGCCAAGCTGTCACTAGAATGGAGTTGCTGAGAAAACAATAAGCAAACTTCCAAATGCAGGCGGGGGAGCAGGTAATAGCAACCAGTGGCCAGTTAGCATGCATTGGGAGTCCAGAGACTAGTAGGAGCAGACGGCCTCCGAAGTACTTGGGCCATGTAGAGTTGGACTGAGGGACTTGTCCAAGGAACTACGTGACCTTTCAGCCACAGGCAGATGCATGCAGGCTATGTAGGGCTCTGTTTCTGTGTAGAGAGGGCTGTGGAAAGGTATGGCCGGGCCAAGATTTCTAAGTCAAAAAGGACAGTGTTCTAGGCCTGTGGTCAGTCAGGATCTACTAGATGTTCTCATGTCCAAACCTCCAACCCCCTGCCTTCATCAGAGATTACAGAAAAACCCCTTCCTCCAGCAATGTCCCCAGCATACTTTAATGGGAAAGCTTAACATCATGTTCACTTAAAGAAGAAATGCTTAAATGAAATCTATTTGCCACAGAGTTATATTGAAGACTATATTCAGACATAAAAGACAATAAATTGACAGCTGACACAAGCCATTGCTTTGGCTACTTAGTGTTCACATGCGCTCTTCTACACATATTTGAATTGCATACAAGAGCAAAACATTTCTATATTTCTACATAACAAGATACATGTATCCTTCTTACAAGTAAGGAAGTTCTCATTCTTCCCCAGGATGCCAAATTCACAGTCCTGATAGTTATTGTCTCCATTGTTGTTGTTGTTAGATGCCATCTAGTCGGTTCTGACTCATAGCAACACTGTGTACTATAGAACAAAACACTGCGCAGTCCTGCACCATCCTCACAATCATTGTTATGCTCAAGCCCATTGTTGCAGCTGCTGTGTCAATCCATCTCATCGAGAGTCTTCCTCTTTTTCGCTGACACTCTATTTTACCAAGCATGATGTCATTCTCCAGGGAGTGATCCCTTCTGTAACATGTCCAAAGTATTGGAGAAGTAGTCTCGCCATCCTTGCTTCTAAAGAGCATTCTGGCTGTACTTCTTCCAAGACAGATTTGTTCATTCTTCTGGCAGTCCATGATGTATTCAATATTCTTCATTAACATCATAATTCAAAGGCATCAATTCTTCTTTGGTCTTCCTTATTCATTGTCCAGCTTTTGCATGCATATGAGGCAATTGAAAATGTCATGGTTTGGGTTAGGCACACCTTAGTCTTCAAGGTGACATTTTTGCTTTTTAACACTTTAAAGAGGTCTTTTGCAGCAGATTTACCCAATGCAATACTTCGTTTGATTTCTTGACTGTTGCTTCCGTGGATGTTGATTGTGGATCTAAGTAAAATGAAATCTTTGACAACTTCAATCTTTTCTCCATTTATCATGATATTGCTTATGGTCCAGTCGTGAGGCTTTTTATCTTCATGTTGAGGTATAATCCATATTGAAGGCTGTAGTCTTTGATCTTCTTCAGCAAGCAAGGTTGCGTCATCTGCATAATGCACATTGTTAACGAGTCTTCCTCCAACCCTGATGCCCTGTTCTTTTTCATATAGTCCAGCTTCTCAGATTATTTGCTCAGCGTACAGACTGAATAAGTATGGTGTAAGGATAGAACCATGATGCACACATTTCCTGACTTTAAACAATGCAGTATCCCCTTGTTCTGTTCGAACTACTGCCTGTTGATCTATGTACAGGTTCCTCATGAGCACAATTAAGTGTTCTGGAGTACCCATTCCTTACAATGTTATCCACAATTTGTTATGATCCACACAGTCTAATTCCTTTGCATAGTCAATAAAACACACACAGGTAAACATCTTTCTGGTATTCTTTGCTTTCAGCCAGGATCCACCTGACGTCAGCAACGATATCCCTGGTCCTCTTCTGAATTTGGCTTGAATTTCTGGCAGTTCCCTGTCGATGTACTGCTGCAGCCACTTTTGAATGATCTTCAGCAAAATT